GATAATGACAGACGGTTGGACGAACATTCGGGGCCAAACGTTGTGCAACTATCTCGTCGGCACGACACGGGGCGCCACATACGTCGCGACAGATGTTATGCGAGGAAAGAAGGATGCCACTGCTCTGGCGCAGGCTTGGCTGCGAAGGTTGAAGTCCCTTGACATCAAGCTCGCCGACATCACCGCTTTCGTCACAGACTCTGCCAGTTCGAACATTTCTGCGATGGAGGTGTTCCAGAAGGATGAGAGTGTCAAGCACATCTTCTGAATTCCTTGTGTGGCACACGTCAAGGACCTCATCCTTGAGGACATCGGCAGCATTGACTGGGTGGCGACCCGCATTGCTCAGGTGCGTTTGGTCACAAAGTTTTTCAAGCGTCATAGTTACGCTCGCGAAGTTTTGCAAGCTTTCACGACGAAGGCTCTGCTGCTTCCCGCCGAGACTCACTTCGGTACGCATGTGATTATGATGCGATGACTTCTTCTGCTGCAATCGCATCTTATGCAGGTGATCGTTGATGATTGATGGAAGGACACTGTTTGGTCAACGAAGAAGATTCGAGACGACGCTGCGGAGGTCACAGCATGTGTCGGTTGTCCTCAATGGTGGGAGGATATGAGAGCGCTGTGCAAGTTGTTGGATCCCATCATGGACATGCTGCAGATGGTGGACAGCGACACGAGGCAGATTGGCAAGATTCTGCGTCGGTACGACGAGATGATCGCGCGTTGTTTGTCTGCATGTGCCGCTTTGGAGAAGGACGAGCAGGACGCGCTGCTTGAAGTATTTGACAGAYGCTGTACCATGTTCAAATCGCCTGCTCATGTTGCTGCCATGATGTTGGACCCTAAGTTTCGAGACCGCACGATGCCAGATGACGAGGAGATGCAGGACGGTTTGAAACTCGCTCTGATTCAGTTTGGGTACACGGAACATTAGGATCAGCACACCGAGGTCCTCACTGCCATTGACAAGTTCCATTCCAGGGAGCCGCCGTTCGACGATGTGGCCATGGACCGGGCGGCGAGGAGCTATACCCATCCAGCATGTTTCTGGGAGTCGAAGGAGAAGAGGTTCCYGCACACGGCCTTCTTCGCTGGCAGGATACTGCGTGTGTGGGCGACTGCGTCGCCTTGCGAGAGAGCTTGGTCCCGTTGGAGTTTCATCCACTCAAAATCTCGTAACAGATTGGAGGTGGCGCGGGCTGAGAAGCTCGTGCGATGCCATTGGAACCTTCGGCTCCTCGACAGGCAGGCTATGTCGGACGATGCTCCCAGTGACAGGCCACATCCGTATGGGAGCTGGGTGCACTACTGGCAGCAGGTGGAGGAGGAGGTGCCCACCGACCAGCAGCTTGTGGCAGACCGAGGAGCCCGTGTGACGGTCACGAAGGAGGAGTTGACGCAGGCGAGAGAGAGGATGCGCGTCGTGTCCCGCATGGGAGCCACTTGTCGCTTGCGGGAGTCTGACAGGAGGAGGTGTCGTGGCTGCGGTTGCAGAGGTGGTCGTCGGGGCGGTCGAGGGCGAGGCGGGCGTGGAGGTCYTGGCGAGAGGCRTAGTGTAGCGAGCCGTGGAAGGGCAGTGGACGAGCTAGTACGCAAGCCTCGACAGCGATGGGAGGAGGGAGACTTTTTGTACGAGAGCTCGTCCAGCGATGACGAGGATTTCTTCGGGAAAAGCAGGCTTGCACAGGATGGCGACARCGATTTCGACGACGGTCACCCGAATGTGGGCGACGACGATGGCGCCAGCGGCGATGATCACGGTGACGGAGGAGATAGGCCATGACCAGCACATGGTGACCCGATGCGCGCCGACGGGGCAGGGGGSGAGCACCGCACAGCAGTAGATCACGCTCGAGATGGAGTGCATGATGATGGTTCACGACCTGTCTCGGGCGGTGATCTGAGGCGCTTGAAACGCGGACCAA